TCCATACATCTGTTTGAATGGTCTTTATCATTTCCCTCACATGCGTTGCTTTATCCCTTGTCCTCCTCATATCCCTCCAATATTTTCCCCCTCCTCCGTATGCATAATTAAAACCCTACTTTTTCATTCATGTACAATGAACAACTATCTTTTCAACTATATATATATATATATATATATATATATATATATATATATATATATATATATATATATATTTTTATATTTTTATATGGGTATTATACTATCATGAAATGACATTTTCATATAGTTGTAAGTTTACTATCGAGATTTGTTGAACCACGAATTAAGTTTCGGTCTTTGGTGTCGGTAGCTTTAGTCAACTACACAAACAAAAATATGTATATAAAAAATATGCACATCGGTGTAGTACTAAATTTAATACACTTTGATGCATAATATAGCAAACAATTTCGTTGAGAGAAGCAAAAAGTCAGATTACGAGAGTACCTCGTGTCCAGTCTTTAATTTCCTCTTATTTATGTAGGGAGTCTTCCCTTGAGTTGGTTTGGGTGAACTGACTCGATTGGATTTGGTTGACTCTAATTTAGTTTGGTTTGGTCTTTTGACTCAAGTGATTAGACTCATGTCACTTGTCGAAATTTAATTGAGCTTTGTAGGATAATTCCACTCATAACCAGATTTGAAGATATATATTTTCAAAATACGGAAGAAAAATATATAATCTAGGAATTTCTATATTCCAAATATACTTTTTATCAAGGAAAAAGCCAACATAGGTTAGATGGATATTTAAACTTGGGTTATAATATCTTTATGCATTGAAAAATCATAGGGATATGGGGATCAAAAGTAAGTCTGTCATTAGTGAATGGACAAATTATGTTATATTATGCCACATCAATTATATGAAGTTATTATTATGAATGATGATGTGTGTTGCCTTAAAAATGTAAGATAATGTTTTTTCCTAGCTATTAAATTATATCTAGATTTCAAAGATTTTTTTTTTAAATAAAAGTACATCTAGAAGGATATGAAATAAATTAATTGCACTATGTTATGTAATTATGAAATGAAAACATATTAATGCTAATAAATATATTATTGCTCCATACTTTATGTCGAGAAATTAAGACCCAAACTTAATCGTTGATTTTTGTTAGTATCTTAATCATGATTAAGAGAAAATAATCCTCGAATAAAAATCACTCAGTATGAATTATAAAGTGAGTTTGCCATCAATTCGTTAGCTCAAGTATAATTCAACAATCAAAAGGTTGGAAATTTAAATCTTCACCCAACAAAAAAACTTCAACTTTCATCCTATCCCCAATATCAAAGTTCCAAATTTTTTTTTTCTTTTAAAATATAGATGGATGGTTGGATGATATATTTAATAAGATAACAAAAATGATTAGAGGAGGATAAAGAATCTATGAATTGAATCTCATGACATGAATCAATTGATTTGAAATATATAATAATAATAATTTAATTGCTTGGAAATGTGAGTCTAACTAAGAAAGAGGTTCATAGCATACACATAAACACATCTGGCAGCAATTGCAGAATCATAATGATAAAAGGAGGATGAGGTTTTAATTTTTGAGTTATGATTCAGAAAATTGAAATAATTTACATTAAATAATTAGAATGTTTGATTGCCAAATCGGGACATGGGAACATGGGGTTGATGCAACATTTTTCTCTTTTATACAAAAATAAAAATAAAAATAGAAAAATATATTTAACTTATTATTATTGGTCGCCACTTGCCTCTAAATATAATATAATCTATATATGCATATAAAGAAAAGAAGCATCTGATTATGTCCCCTTCACCTTTGACCACCACTAAAATCAAACATCAAATTTTTTGATGATATTAGACGCTATCTCAAAACAAAGGACCACCTCTGATTGCAATGCAAGATTCAGACAACATTCTTTTGCAGTACACAATGGCATAATTTATCCAATTAATTCAAATTATATATATATGTATATGTATGTATGTATCACTCCCTTTTTATCTTATCATGAAAATTACTTTAAATCTTATGCTACATTACAATCAACTAAACTATATATTTGAAGTGGTGTTGCATATGTGATTTTCTATTTTTCTTATTTGTTGACTAGGAAACAGTCCACCAAATAAAAAAAAAAAACATCAACTCATTGCATGTTTATAACAATAGAGTTTGACCAAATTATTTGGATTAAATAGGAAATTTAGTTTTGTCGACTTGCGTAGAGTGACTTCCCACGCGTGACAAGAAAAGAGGGTAATTGAAGATTTGAGGAATATAGTACATTGGATTCTTTAGGTCTAATGAGTCATACTTCAAAACATCACCAATATCGATCTTAACCAATCTCAATCTGCGGTAGCAATGAAACTGTTTCTAACCTCTTATGCACACCAACATAGATCTCATGTCTATAATCTTATGATTAGTTAACATCATTGAGTAGATCCTTACATATCAACGCTTATGAATGGACTCTGTATGCAATTTATTTGAGTTTGGATTCTCATCTTTAGAACTCACCTCGAATTCAGTAACTTGAATTTTAGACTATGTGATTCTCTCATCAACTCAAATTCACCAAAAAAAAATTGAGAAAAAAAACTTAAATTATATAGATAAAACTGTAATTTAACTTTTGAAGAAAATATATATATATATATATATATATATATATATATATATATATATATATAATTAATAAGATTACACGTTTGTATGACAGGTTTTATTTTTCTTTTGTTAAATAAATTCTCAACAAATTCGAGGGTTGGCAAATAGGATTATTTAATTGAAATGGATTGTAATGTGAATTGAAT